GGGGGGGGGGGGGACGAGGAAGAGGGAGTAAAATTAGTATTCAAAAGATAAAGAAATAAAAGCTTAATATTTATGGATTTATAGAGAAATGGTCAGAAAGGAAAGGACACTGAAAGGAAAAGAAGAAAAGAACACAAGATTCATGTGGACACTGATTTAGTTTAAAGGAACACTGTTGATGTTTTTATGTGCACTTGTATATTTTAGGGATGCATCTTTAAATGTCAAATCTGTTATTTGATAAGTTGAATTCATGAATAATGAAAGCTAAAAAAAATTATTAAGTCACGCCCCATCTTACTGCTTCCCCATGCAGATACGCTGTCAAAAGCATGAACCCCAAGTGGTGGAATGGATTGCATTATGGGATGCTAGGACTTCATGCACATAGATGAATTTTAAAATCCTATCCTCTAACTCTACATTCTCACCGCTAAATAAGGAGACTGAATACTTAAAGGTCACAAAGTAGAAATGAAGACAGTTGATCCATGATAAACAAGTGATGTACAAAGCTACTGTAGCCAAGAGTCTGGTCTAAGTGCAAAAATTGTGAAATTTCACCCTATACTGGCAACAACATAAGACTCAAGACCTAAGGTGATGCACTCAAAGAAATCAAAAAGAGGACTGAGGGGTGATGCTAGCTCTGTAACCATAGTAAGCTAGAACCCACTGCATTTCCACCATACTATTCAGTCTTTCATTCTGATTTTCCATGCCTTTCCACTAAAATAAGATAAAAAAATTTTTAAAAAGTTACTGCACATTAAAGCTAAGGCAAGGAACAACATACAAACACTTTTGTTTACTTACATTCGTTGGGCAATCCCATAGCATGTTTCTGAAGATGGGGGATTTCTTGGGGAAAAAATCCCAATTATCATAAGGTGCATATATGACGTCATACATTTTATAAACAGACATTTTCCACTCATTTTTGTACTTCTTGCCACTCAACTTTTTCAGGTCATAAATTAAAATGTACATACTTGTCAGATGAAGGATTCCATCACAGGCGCTAATATGAGACAAAAAGGCATTTCCTAGGCCTTGGCCAGAATGAGCTCCTTTCACCAGACCAGCAATATCTACTACATTCAGGAAGGCTGGAATTTTGCTGAAAGATAAGAGTTAAAGGCTTCATTACTACATTTACAACCAAAAAAGTTGTCTGGCACAAAAAGGAATACAGAAGGCTAAAAAGCATTTTGGTTAACATGGCCTTCACTTTTTAACGAACAAACTACAAATGATCACTGTAAAGACCCGATTTCCCCCCAACCCCCTTCAAAAAAAAGTATAACACAATCTTTAGTTTTTAATTGCTTTTTAAAATCCAGATTTTGGCTTCTCTGTTTTTCCAGGCAAACTAGAAAGTTCAAAATCAACTGTATGTTACATATAAAACAACTGATTGATAAGAAATTTTTGTCCAGATTATAGGCAGTCCTCAACTTACAACATTTATAAATTGACAACCTGTTTCAACTTTCTGACATCAATTTCGACTTTACAATGCTTGATCTGATGCAACGCCACGGCAGCAAACAAGTTCACTGTGTCACCCATTTTCCTGAAGAATATCTGTCCCAAATTCCTTGGACACTTTAAGGAAGCAGACAAGACTCCAGAAAAACCTGCAGCCAAGACTCCCGAGAAGACTCCAGCCAAGAACCCTTCAAAAAGTCCAGCAAAGTCACCTCAAGGAATTCCTTCCAAATCAATATGATTGCTATTTACAATATAACTACATTAATGTAGGTACAGTAAAAGCTCCGTTATCCGGCATCCATGAGGAATGGGGGGGTGCCGATTAATCAAATGTGCCAGTTACCTGAAAGTTATACTCATCTCCACCCCAGCAGGTTGGAGGCCTGTTCAGTCACCACTCCTCCTGCTGCATCTGGTATGCCAAGGCTTTCACTCCCTGGCATCAGTGTGCTGGAGGACAGGGAGGGAGGCCCCGTGCAGGCTGCTTTGCCCTGGGCAGTGGTCCACGAGGAAGAAGTGGGACTTGGCTCACAGTGGCAAAACCAGAAATGCCACCATGGGACAGATGCCAGATAGAGCATTCCAGATGGTAAAGTGCCAGATAACACAGCTTTTACTGTATATTACTCATCTATAATTGAGTACAAAATTCTGGGGTATTTTTGATGAAAACAGGGTATTGGGCCTTGGTTCAGGAACGAATCCCTCATTTATAATGTTGTTTCTTATGAGAAAATTGGTTCCAAGTTATAACATTGACTTAAGACGTGGTTTTCAGGAACCACTTGCATTGCAAGTTCAAGGACTGCCTGTACTTAAAACTCAAAGGACTAGTTTTTAATATAAAACTTCCAATTGTTAAATATCTAGACTCCGCAGTTAAAAAAAAAAATCAAGGACAAAAGATCACTTGTTAGAGAGTTAGTACTTCTACCCCTGCAACTAAAGGTTGATCAGGCGTGCTTTCCATAACACAGTCTTCCAAAAGCTGCAAAACTGAGAAGTTAAAATAGTCTGTTCCCACGTCAGATACAAAATACCAACAGAAGTAGACTGTTTCCTTTTTATATTTTAAATAAAAAAAAAAAATTAAAATACGATTTTTAAATGGGTCAAATAACTTTTCTTCTTTTCACATCCTTTAAGAACACGATGTTATAGAAATTAATCCTTCATAGCATTCTAGACTTTGTCCAGGGCTAAGGACTGGAGAGGAAAATACAGGACCTTCATACACAAAGACTATCTATATAATGCCAGACATTTAGTCCTACACCCAGGCTTGCAAAATCTGACCTGTGCCATAAAGACAAAGACACATTTTTATCTGTTTCAGAAGAAGACTGCGCCTGGCCCTTTTCTATCCAAGGCCTGCTGAGCATCTAGAATAAAAGATGGCTTTTTTCCTGGTCACCAGTGGCTTGAGTCTTCAGTTGTGTTTATTACTCTTAAATATTATTCAATCTACTCTTTACATTTAAAAAAAGAAGTCTTTCCTAAACTGAACAAAAGTCTTTATAAAGTATACTTTAATCATGATTCAAAGGAGAAAAGGTCTATGACTAACATGTTGGTAAAACTTCACTGGATCTAAAAAAAAAAAAACCACACAGATTACAAATAGAATGAATTATTGAGTTCCTTCTCCAAGCTGAATGAGTTGAAAAGGAGAGAGAGGATATCCTCCTGGAGGTTCTCTGAAGAACCATCCAGTTCATAGTCGGCTTTCCCCAAGTTAAGATGCATGTGTTAATATTCTATTTTTACTAAATCCAATTTCTCTTCCAATATAAAAGTTTGTCATAACTAAGTGTTCTTCTCTATTTTTCAACAATACTTGGTATTTACATAAAAGCTTGGTATTTACATAAAAGCTCCAAATCTTATTTTATGGATTTAATCTTCTAGATTCACCCAGCAACATGCACAGCATTTTGAGGTTTTGTATTTCAGTCCTTCATCCATATACTCTAGATTTCCTAAAAAGTTAACTTTTTTAAAATTAGAGAATATGACAAGACAATAATAAAGAAAAAAGAAAGTTCTTTGCATTTGCTTTCTATAACTAACAGAGACTATACATGAACTATTAAAGTAGTTACAGACAGTTCAGTAAGTACAGACAGACTGACGACAGCGAGTCTGACTAGCAGCAGTATTTAAGTAATATTTGAATAGTAATGATATTTTAGGCTACCTATTATTGTTGAATTAGGAGACATAATTAGAGACGCAGAGATGCATCAGTCCAGTAATCGGATCGGCACTGATATAAAGAAACACGTCCATATCAGAAAATCTGCTTGATATGGCCAATAAACGGCCCATGCACGCACACAGCCACAGCGCAGTATGTAGGCGGCAAAGAGTACAACTCGGCAGCTTGAAGAGTTGTGTGCAGTTACTAAGTCTGGTGTGGTAGAAAGGGAAGAGGGGGCAGATCAAGGTCCCCCCCCATCCCCCCCTCCCAGGTGAGGGAGGAGTGGGGCTGGGACAAGGACTGCCCAGCCAGGGCAGGGTGGACATGAGACAGAGCCGTAGCTCGTCCGGGGGGAGCATCGGGGGTGGTTCTCAGTGCTCATCCAGGAGCCACTGGTCTGGTGGCTCGTCTGGCGCTCATCCCGTGGCTCCCACTGCTCATCCAGGAAGGGGCGTGCCCCCAATCTGAGGGGGGCCAGGGCTGCACTAAGCTCTTCCTGGTGAGGCAGGGCTGGGCTCAGGGCAGGAGGTGGCAGCACAGGGACTGGAGGGGGAGCCTACACCAAATTTTTTTTGGGGGGGGGGGGGACGGGACGACTGTAGCCCTCCCATCCCAGCACCAAGCCACCTGCCCCAAACCCAGCCCTGCCAGAAAGAGCTTGGTGCAGCCCCAGCCCTGCACATATCTGGGGGCAATCTCCCACTCCCTATGCCCTCCTGGACAAGCTGGGGGAGCAGCAGCTGGAGGCACCAGATGAGCTGCCAGACTAGCAGCTCCCAAACTAGCAGCACACAGAGGCAGGAGCCACCCTCCCCACGCCCTCTGGAGGAGCTGGCTACATCCCATGCCTGCCCCGCCCTGGCTGGGCAGCCTTTGCCCCAGCCCCACTCCTCCCTCACCATGGGGACCTTGATCTGCCCCCCACACCCTTTCCTTCCCCCCTCCCCTTCCACCACACAAGAGTTACCAGCTGTACACAGCTCTCCAAGCTGCCAGGCTCATTTAAAAAAAAAAAAAAAAAAAAAAAAAAAAAAAAA